TTTTGGTTTTGAAAAAATGAAATAATATTCCATTTGGAGGGTTTTTGTCCGTCATTTGAATTTATATGTAGTGTTCAATTGTTCTATAATTCAAATAATTCAAAATCAGTTTATGCAATTGAAATAGTAAAATAAAATTGTTCAGTATCCTTTCAGTCGGTGGTCGATTTCAGAAAAATCCTAAATTGGCAGTCTGTCAAATTAAACTTAAGCAGTATTAAAAGATGCAGTAGAAAATATGAATATGGCGAGCGAAGTTTTCATCAAGAATAATTAATTAATAATGTTATAATTAAATATTTTATGTCCGCTATGGTACCATTAAAAATTGTATAAGCTTGTGTTCTTGCCGGCCAATTCCGAACAATTCAAGTAAAACTGTTACATATGTATATACATAATATTTTTTAAATTTTATTTTATAAAATTAATTTTAATAAAATTTGTGCATTTTACATATTCTTGATTTTTTAACTTACTATTGTTTTGTAATGGAATATGATTATGAAGACATGCGTTACATTTTCGCTTTATATAGTTATGCAATAAGAATAATAATATATAGCTAAAATTACATGGTACATTAATTTCTAATGGTAAGGAAAATGACAACTATTATTACATAAACTATTCATAAACACATGCACAATACATAAAAATAGTGACATTAATATTTATATTATATAAAAAGACGAGTATAGTTGTGATTAAATATTAAATGGTTGGATGGTGTTTTATTTTCATTTTTGAATAATTTTTGTTTTAGAACGAAGATTTTTGTTTTTTATACGTTTTTCGTTCTATAATAAAATTTCGCTATAGCTATATGAATTTAAAGATTTGTTTTAGTGGAAAATTTGATTAAAGCAAAAGAATTATTAGATTATTTATTTATATTTAGTTGATAGTTAAAATATATTTGAAAATCTTTGTAAATACATGTGGGATTTATTTCATGATATAAATTTATAGCTGTTAATGACTTCATATATTATACCCAAAATAAAATAAATAACATATTTAAATAAGTTTAATGAATTAATTAGCGAAAGCGACGCCATGTACATAGTATATTATGTAAAATTTTATAAAGAAAAATTTTCTACTGCTTTAATATTAAATTACTTGCTTAAATTCTTAAATAAATAAACCAGTTCTAAACTGAATTAAATTTGATACTGTTAATTTAAAGCGCAACTTGATACAATAAAATTCAATATTGAATAATTTTTTATCAAGTAATCCTTGATGCAAGGAGTTTTAGGTATAATTGATATTAAGTTTGAGTGTTCTGAAAATTTATGGAGTTTTTGCAAATATTACATAGTTCTTCCAACTAAGCCATTTTGCATAACATGTCAAACAGAAAATTTTATCAGAGTGAAAAAAATATTAACTTTTATATTTTAATCGAAATTTCAATAATTTTAAGCTACTACAACTAATCAATGCGTATGTATTTATATGAAAACACGGATTTTTTACGATTTTCGTAAAAAATTCAGTTTCTTACGTCTTAAATTTTTCTTTTATGAAAAATACAAAGTTTTTTGAGTTTTGTATGACAAGTATACAGTTTCTTACGTATTATATAAAAATATACCGTTTCCTTAGGCCTTCGTAGAGTTTAATGTAAAAATATCATTTTCTTGAGTCTTTCATGAAAAATGCTAAGTTTTTTACGTTTTATATGTAAAATATAGAGTTGTTTACGTTTAATGTAGAAATATCATTTTCTTGAGTCTTTCATGAAAAATGCTAAGTTTTTTACGTTTTATATGTAAAATATAAAGTTTTTTACTTTTTATGTAGAAAATACTGTTTAGTCACATCTGTTATGAAAAATACATTGTTGTTTACGTTTTATGTAAAAAGTATCAATTTCTTAACTCCTTTATGAGAATCACGGGGTTTTTTACGTTTTGTATGTGAGTATAGAGTTTTCTACGTATTATGTAAAAAATACCGAGTTGTTTACGTTTTATGTAAAAAATTTCGTTTCCTTGAGTCTTTCAAGAAAAACTCAAAGTTTTTTACGTTTTATATGTAAAATATAGAGTTTTTTACGTTTTATGTAGAAAATACTGTTTAGTCACATCTGTTATGAAAAATACATTGTTGTTTACGTTTTATGTAAAAAGTATCCATTTCTTAACTCCTTTATGAAAAACACGCTGTTTTTTTACGTTTTGTATGAGAGATATAGAGTTTTCTACGTATTATGTAAAAAATATCGAGTTGTTTACGTTTTATGTAAAACATTTCGTTTCCTTAAGTCTTTCATGAATAACTCAGAGTTTTTTACGTTTTATATGTAAAAAGTAACCATTTCTGAGCTTCTTTATGAAAAACACGGAGTTTTTTACGTTTTGTATGAGAGCATAGAGTTTTCTACGTATTATGTAAAAAATACCGAGTTGTTTACGTTTTATGTAAAAAATTTCGTTTCCTTGAGTCTTTCATGAAAAACTCAGAGTTTTTTACGTTTTATATGTAAAATATAGAGTTTTTTACGTTTTATGTAGAAAATACTGTTTGATCACATCTGTTATGAAAAATACATTGTTGTTTACGTTTTATGTAAAAAGTATCCATTTCTTAACTCCTTTATGAAAAACACGCTGTTTTTTTACGTTTTGTATGAGAAGTATAGAGTTTTCTACGTATTATGTAAAAAATATCGAGTTGTTTACGTTTTATGTAAAAAATTTCGTTTCCTTGAGTCGTTCATGAAAAACCCAGAGTTTTCTACGTTTTATGTTCAAACTAGAGAAGTTTTTACGTTTTTATTAAAACTAGAGAAAAGATTTTTTACTTTTTTCTTTAAAATACTCTTGTCATATGTTTGTTTCGTTACAAAATGATTGGTAAATTATATTTTTTTTTTACTTTGTAAATATGTATGTAAGAATATCTTGACGTAAGTAAGACATTAAGTTTATTAAGTAATAAAGAATAAAACAATAAGAATTTATATTACACAACAAGTACGTACCAATACCTGCAATAAAATTAAATTTATTTTTTTGGCATTTTAATGAAATCCACGTGTTCGCTTTTATTTTCTCATCATGTTATAATAACTTTGAATGACATTCTTACTGTTATTTTCCAATAAAATAGTTTTTTCTTGAACATTGTTACGTATAGTAAAATTGGAAACGATGCATCGGATATTCTTTCGAATTGCTTTCTCAATTATTTTTTGTATGACGAGAGTGAACAGTTTATTTTATGGACAATAAATTTTACTATTATTTAACTTTAACTATTATTTAATATTTATAATCTATAGTTGTCATAATAAACGCTATTCCAAATTTAAAGACATAAATGAAAAATTCTAATATTACTAAAGATAAGTGCTTATTAATATGTATAACAATTTTAATATGTATACGTTCAAGTGGTGGTAATGGTATATTTTATTTAGTAGTTGTTAATAAGGATATTGATTAAGTTAAATTAATTGGAAATTTGCGTGTCATGAATACGTTTTTTAAGAAAAATAAAAGTTGTATTTACAATCTTAAATTTTTAAAATTATTGAATTATACTCGTAGCTACCATTAGGTGGTTTACTTATAATAAAGATGTTAATAATATCAAAGAATGGTTTAATAAACGATCAAATTATTTCCTTCCCAACATAATAAATATTTTGATTGGTAAATTATAATTAAAATGTGAATAAATTTTTGGGAGAAAGCTTTTAAGTATGTACAAGTACTCTGGGTATTTTTTAAAGATTACCTATGTATAAAACTGTTTAAACGATTATAATGGATTTAAGGATTAAAAGTAATTTTACAACCTTATATTTTCGTTAATCTTAAATATATTGCTTTCTGATATGCTGGTTTTGTAACCACTCGAATAATGTTGAAATTTTATAACAAATTTACTGTTCTGTTATTGTAATGCTAAGATAGTAATGTATAACATTATATTTTTATTTTTTGGCCTGTTTAGTTCCGAGTAAAATCGATCTGTCTATTTATTTATTCGTCGCAGAAACAACTCAAAAACTAATTCATTTTTGTAAATTTTAAAATCTTTAAAAAAAATTTAAAAAAAAATAATTTTTCCTGATAAATTGCTTTATATGTACAAAAACCCGAAAGAAGAAAGGAACTACTAACTAAGAAAGTCAGGAATTAAATTGAATTTAGTTAATTGCGAGCATATCTGATTTGGTAAAATTCAAAAATAAAGAACGGTCCCTGCTTTTTATACCCTTCAATGAAATTAAATCCTATATAAGGTGTTTATAACTTTTTAATATTCATATTTTATAGTATTCAGGTTATAATTGCTTGGCAGTAGTATTTGTGTTAAATGTACAAAATCACTTTGTATTTATATTTCAACTTTAACAAAAATGTTATAATAAAAATCCAATAGTGCTAGTTAAAGTATTGCTTATGGCAGTAAACACTTTGTTTTAATTAATCTTTTAGAAGCTTTTAAAATGAATGGTACTTTAATTTATCCGGACAATAGCATATTAAAAAGTGCACAATGAAAAGTCTTTCTTTATTTTCGCTATTGAAATGGAATATTGAAACATTTTTGTTTTATAAAATTTAACAAAAAAAAACTTTTGCAATTTTTTGAACCTACTAGTTTTCCCTATAGCATTTTATGAATTGAATTGAAATACGAACTCAATCATCTGTAATAAATTATTGTTTAACCAAGTATAAAATGTTTAATAAAATAACAAAAAGGATAATATCAATTTCAAAAAAATATGAGGTGAAATTCAATAGAAACGATGTTGCTCATTCTAGAATAAATTCCAAATAAAGTAGATTAAAATGAAATAGCATTTGAGATCGCACATATTTGACGTCTTTTATTCGGGTTTAGAATAATTTCAAGTTTAGTACTAATGTATAATTCCGTAAAATACTATACATGTTAGATTTTAATAAATAAAATTGTTATATTTATTTATTAAGTAATAATTTTTAACATTTTTTATTTTTTGTTTTCAGCATCATTCGGCCATAGGATATATATGTTGTGCACCTTGTATATGGTTAAAAACATCAGCAACAGTACATAAAATAGCAATAACAACAGCAACTTTATTAGTAACATCATTATTAGTAGCATCACCAATATTATTTTTAATTAGTACGGCACCATCACAACTGCCGAAAGATTGTTATCCAGACGAAGAAGATTGTATGCCAACAGTGGCACCACCACCAGAATGTAAAGCTCAAGTATGTCGATTAGCAGCTCAAAGTATACAAACTCGTATGAATTGGAAATCTGATCCATGTAAAACTTTTAAAGAATTTAGTTGCTCAAGTGGACAACCAGATAGTCTTAGAACATCGAAAAGTTCTCAAGAAGCTGTTGATTTGCAAATGCAACGTTAGTTACATACAGATAAAAACAAAAAACAAAGAATAAGCAAACAAAATTAGAAAATTAAAAAATTTTAAAATATTTTTCTTTTTTTTTTTTTCTTAAATTCTATTATCTAGAATTATTACTCCACAACACAACAACTGGTCCTTTTCGTAAATTGGGTCGTTTATATGGGAGTTGCCTTAAACAGAATACAAATTGTACATCAATTCAATTAGTTTTAGAAAAATTAGGTGGTTATCTACCAATTGGAGCATTAGGTCCTTCAACTATTTCAAATTTGATGGTTAAAATATATGAATTGGGTCCAACGCCACTTATTGATATTTATTACGATTTAAGTTATGGTCGACATCCTCATGTGTTATTAATTATTGATGGTTCAACGACGTCAGCGCCAATATTAGAAGTATTGTTTTTCATATATAAAACATTTAATTAATTATTTGAATGTTTATTATTATTATTAGAATAAGTTTAGATGGATGGGTCCAAAAGCGCCTCCATATCGTGTTAAAGAAGCTGTTCCTATACTTTTAGATGATTTATTGGATAGTTTTTTACCAAGTAGTTTGACATACGAACAAAAGATTTCGGAAAAAGAATCTATTTCAATTTTTATAGAAGAGTTAAATAAAGTAATTTGCAATTTTATTTTCCAAAAAAAAAAATTTGGAATTAATCTACCTTTCTTCTAATTTTTAGTTAAGAGTTGAGCATTCCAGGAGAGGTTTTTGGAATAGTTCTGTTTTATACAACACGTCATCGTTAAATCAAAAATATCCTTTTGTAAGTATATAGAGAAAAAGGTCAAACTAACTTATAATATTGTATAACATGTGATGGCCAAACCTATAAAGTGTATGTAAAGGTCATTTGAAAACAAAAAGGGTTAGAAATTTGAAATTCAGCGTAAATTGTTATTTTTACCATGCACAGTGCTGAATTGCAATTAAGTAAGGTCACTTTACTTAAAGGAGAACCCCTCATGCAAACACTTGAAAATTTGAATCTGCTAATATTTTCAAACGGATTATTGCTGAAAAAAAAACCAATACATTTTGTTGAATGACATATTGTCGCCACACAAATTTGAATTGCAATGTTTCTTGATTTTATTTTGTAAATTTATAAATTGCATTTATATAAATTTATTTATATATTTATTATAAGCAAATGTATATACATACTTCACATTAATATTTAATTTAATTTTAGTTAAATTGGACGGCACTTATCCCATGTAATTGGACTGGTCCAATTGTTGTTCGAAGCTCAGATTATTTACGTAGTGTTGGTGAATTAATTGAAAAACATCCCACCCGTGTGGCACATAATTCATTATTAGTATTATTTGCTTTGGGAATATTACCTCAAGGGCATCCTGATCCATTTATATGCACTAAAGCTACAATGTGGGCATTACCAGAGGTTGCATCAGCCTTTTTTATGGCACAATTTACAGAGAATGATATTAAAGATGTTAAATATCGAGTAAGTATTAAATATTTTAAATTATTGAACATTTTTTAATTACGTTATGTAAAAAAATATTGTATACGTGTAATAATATTAAATATTTAAGGCGGAAATAATATTTGATGCTTTAAAAGCACATTTAAAAAGAGCGCCATCGCTTAAAGGAGCAGCTCTAGTAAAATTATCACAATTAAAAATACAAACGAATATTTGGAAAGGTTTTACAAATATGTCTGAAATTATTGATCAATTGGATAGTTTAGAGATTTCATCAGATAATTGGTTTGAAAATATATTAAATATATATCAAAGAATTAAAGAGATTCCAGAAAATCCAGAAATTACAACACAAGTTGCATATGCTTATCCAATTGTAGCAAAAATATTTTATGATGCTCTAAGTCATTCAATAGGTAAAATACTTTAATATTTTGTTTATTATTTGAATAATTTAAAAAACATTTAAAAAATAAAATTTTTAGTTGTTCCATTATCAGTAATAGAGGTGCCATATTTTGATTCAAAATTACCACCATATCTTCAATATGCATCAGTTGGTGTTGCTATAGCTAAAGAAATTTTACGTGCTATTACAAAAGCTTTCGAAGATAAAGCAATGCGCTGTGTTCCACTCTCCGTAAATATATTTTCAAATTATAGTCGTATGGATATATTAATACATTCTGGTGGTATGCAAATTGCATATCATTCGTTATTATCATTAACTGGGCCAATTAAAGGAATGGCACGTTTACCTGGTCTAAGTTTAACACCAACACAAATTTTCTTTTTAGTTTCAGCCCAAGAATTATGTGCAGAATCGGATTATACAGGAATTGATACACAATCTTCAGATTTTGGAAATATGTATTATTTTCGTTTAAAATATTTTAAATAAAAAATAATATTTATATTTAATTTTAGATTGGGATGGTTAATTGCTCAAGGTGGTAGCGCTACTGAAGTATTCAAATGTCCAAGTGGATCAATGATACATGCTCAAAAAACATGCAATGTTCTGTAAACATAACAAAATGAATTATAAATATAACTAATTGAAGGAATATATATATATGTATAATTATGTAATATGTATATACTTCGATATAAGATATATACATACATATATATTTAATTAAATAATATTAGTATATACTTCCATATAAATGCACATAATATACAGCATTGAAATAATATTATATAAAATGCATAATATGCATAAATTTTATACAAAATATATTATTTATGTAAAAAAAAGTAAATGATCTACAAGTATATTATTATTATATAATTAATTTAAAAAGAAAATATTCCAAAATATGTATAAAATATAATTATAAATTACCTGTACATTTATTTCTAAGAAGTATAACTATTTTCCAAATAAATTTTATTGAGAGCAAAATATTAATGGGAAAATAAACATTCTACAAAACTTGATACATATTATTAAATAAAAAAAAAGTATATTTTACAAAATAAATTAAAAATAAATCTTAATAAATAAATTAACAAATTAACATTTCTATTGAATTTTACAAAACTATCTATAAAAAACAAAAAAAAAAAAATAAAAAAATTTATAATTAACACAGCGTCCCATCATCTTACACAAAATAATTTAATTATTATTTAAATACTATATGTATGTATATTTTTAAAAAAATATAGTAAATAAACAATTAATAGAATATATTAATTAAATTATATTAATGATAATTTGTAGAAAATATTTTTGTAGATAATTATTAAATATTAATGAGTTAAAAACCAATGACATAACAAATACTAGAAAAAAAAATTAAACATATACGAAAACATATAATTAAAAATATGTATTAGAAAATTAAAATAACAATTAAAAAATAAAATTATATATGTATGTATGTTGTATAACAATTACTATTATTTTTATTTATTTTTTTTTTCTTTTTTGGGGAAAAATAACAAATTGAACAATGAAATTTAGTTTTAAGTAGAAAATTATATGAAAATTGTATAATAAAATATTTATATTGTATTTAGAATAAAATCAAATTATTTTATCTACACTTTTAACACAATTATACCTATAAAAATAAAAATAGCAAATGATTCTATATAGAAACTTTATATATACATAAACCAATATAAAAAATTTTAAGTTTGAAAGCAACAGTAAAAAAAAAAAATAACAAAACAAAAATTTTAACTATTATACTAACTGTACTTTTAGAACACCGGTAACTGGCAATAAATTTTACCTGAACTAAATTAATTCAACTGTAATATACATATTATATAAAATATAAAGAGAATGTTTAATAATAACATATTGAGAAAATATATTTGAAACACAATAGAAAAAATTTAAATACATAAAACTAAAAAAAACTATATAAAAAATATAACAATTTATATACATAATATCTATATGTACATTGAAATGTATGTATGTATGTCAATTACCTTTACACCTTAAATAGTTTCCTTTTATAAGTGTGCATAAAATTATTAAAAGACAATTTACAAAATATTATAGTTATCATTAAAAAATCAAACAATATTTTATTGTATAATATGAAGAAATAAACCGCATAATATAGAGTAATATGTACATGAAAATAGTAGTTGCTTATATAGATACTATAAAAACAGTATATTTACCATTCCTAAAATTCAAAAATATTATATCGATTTACTCCTATACTATATTTATTTTTCTATTATTATATGTATATTATGTAAATAATGAAAACAAATCAAAAGAATATCAACACCATTATAATAATTATGATTATATTTTTAGAATAGATTTACTTATCTACTACTATTGCAAAAATAGTTAGAAAATATTAAGGCAAAATTGCAATTTTGTTTTCTAAATATTATGTTGTTCTTTTCTAATTTGTTAAAACTGTTATACTCCCTTCAACCCTCCCTTTACTTTAAAAAATGAACATAATTTCTGTTTCAAATTCAAATTTTCTGATTTGTAATTACAACGGATCTGATTTTACTGTTGTATATGTTGTTACACAACAGTAATTAGCAAGACTTATATATATAATATAATATACTTAAGCTTCATTATTTCTATTACTAGTTATTATAGAATTACAAAATTAGGCTTAAATATTTTTAACAAAAATAAAATTTATTTTTTTAAATTAATTTAATTGGGTAAGGCGTTTTAAAAATTATTCAATTAGTTACTAAATGATTTTTGCTTAAAAATATTTTTAAGCCCTTCGTTTCATACGCTTTGCAGCACATTAAATTATTCTTAACTTTGTAATGAAATCTTAATTGTCATTTAAATATATTAAACAAAGAATATTAAAAAATCACGCATCTAACTAAATTGTCACGTAAGAAGAGCATCTTACCAGTTTATGTTACTAAGAAAAGAACCATTGCAAAAAGTACATACATACATATTTGTTGAAATTATATAATGACTCATCTTGCATTTAATTGATTTAAATTTTGAAATAAGAGCACATTTTGCTATGGATTCTTCTTGTACGAATAAGAAGTTTTAAAAAGCGTTATAAAAGCTATAAGCTAGTTAGCTGCTAGAAAAACTAAACTATAATTTTAAAGTCTTTCTTTTATTTAATATAACTCTTATAACTGTATATTAGTTTTCATAACTTTAAATTTATAATACTGATCGACACAATTGTTTAGAAGATAGTTTTGAAAAGGAGTGTTGCCATTACAGATTTTTTTCAAATAACATTTTGACATGAAAAATTGTTTCTATAAATACTTTGAATTTTACCCATTTTTCTGAGAAATAAAAAACTAATGTTAACGGCAGTAAAATTAAATCTGAAAAGTTTCAATATTATTTCTTTGCAAAATGTTAATTTGCATCTGCTCACCCTCAATTTACTTTTGATATTTTGTTTCATAAAGCTCAAATGTATAAAAAATTATACACTGCAGTTTTTTCTTGCTCAATTTAGTTTTTGATTGCTCAAATTTGAGTATTAATTTTATAAAATGTCAGTTTCAGTGATATTACAGTTAATATGCATAATAAGATTAAAAAACAAATTGTTGTCTTCCAAATACAAAAAAAAATTCCTAAATAATTATAAAAAGTATTATTTAAATTCTACCAATTCGTTTAAACAAGAAAACATTTTCGGATTTTGCTTTAATATTTTAGAATATACTATAGCTTTGCTTTTTGGTTGTTGATTTTGCATACTAGATCACACTGTTATATTAATAAAGAAAAAACATAGAATCGAACACACTTAATTTAATTAAATATTTTAAAATTAAAAAAAAAAATAACATTCTTTTAATAATTTTTAATAGAGAAAAAAATTGTTAATTTTAAAATGAATAAGCAAATGCGTGGTAGAAGTTACACTTCATTTTACATCATTTTGTATGTAAAAGTTTTAGTACAAATAATAGAATAGAAGAAATTCTAATTCATTCATAATTTATTTTATTTTGAAAATTTAGCTACAATTTAATCATATGTTATAACAGTTTAAATTTTGTTACGTATATATTCATTGTGTATCAAAAGATTAACATTGTTAAAATACAATGTCTACTATAAAAACTAAACTACAATTTTAAAGCCGTTCTTTTGTTTAATATAACTCTAATAACTGTATATTAGTTTTCATAACTTTAAATTTATAATTGAAGAGATAAGTGGACAAAGGGGTTAACTTACATTTGCATTTTGACACATTTTTTCATTAAGAAATTGTAAAACTATTAATTTTTTTGTTACTTATCTCCTAAGTGCACTGTCAATCTCGTTTTCTATTAAGTTTCTAGCTACAAGAGTAAACACAGTTGAAAATATAAGAAATTTAATCATGTTCTATTTCAAAAGCTCGATTTTCGTCAAAATGTTAGTTAACCTCCTTGTCCACTTATCTCTTCAATTGTTTTGTAATTTTTATCACTTCTTCTTACAAAGTTTCAGCTTTATCACTTTGTTTCTCGTCCTGTTTTTCAAAATAAAATATTAAACATAGAATGTTTTTACCATTATTTTTAAATTAAGAAGAAATGTGAAATTGCAATTAAAATCCAATTAAAAAAATGAGAATTCTTATTTAAAAACAACTACAAAATTAATAAGTATGGTTAACTGAGAATTATACTAACTGTTTTATTTGATCATTAAAATTTCATATTTTCCCAATTGAAAATCGTGTATCTCGCTTTCTCATTTCGCATTCTATTTACTTTGAGAAATCCCAAATTCTCATTTTTGTTAAAGTATCTCTCATTTTTCCAATAAGAATACTCATTTTTATAATCAACACCTTCGTGTAGACTGTAGACTGTATTGTTTTGTATGAAGTTTGTAACCATATGAAGGAGTCATTTGCGGGATGAACATATATACAATATTCTTGACCAGCGTAAAATTCCAGGTTGATTTAAATATTTCCGCCCGTCCAATCGCACGATAACTCAAAAACGAATAATGCAATCGACATCAAACTTTCACAAGTTATTCCTTTTCTAATTCGACTGCTATTGCAATTGGTTCAATTCGGATAACGGTTCAAGGAGCTGCCATATATATAGTAGCTCTAAGAGCTAATTTTAAATATTTGGAAAATAAATAAAATTAGATTCATGAAACCTGGCAGTCGTGTGTCTAATCATATGTCACACATATCCGTGGAGTTTCTATGGAGTGGTTTGACAGGTTTGAGTACTTAAAAACAATGAAAACTAATTCTAGATATTTCGAAAACAAATTTTTGAACTCAGATTGTTACCGACTGAAATGTCTTCATTTATGTTTCAATTGGATTTGGATTGAATTTTTTCCTGAAATTATTAATTTATTAAATTTACTAACTTCAAAAACAGAGTCAATGAATTGTGACCAAATTTTATAAACCCACATTTTAGAAAAACTGAGATACGCGATACAAAAAATTCTTCTTATTTGAAAATTATCTTATATACGAATTTCTGATACTAATTAAATTCTCATCCGATGATTAAAAATGTAAGATTCACAATTAAGCTTTTTACCAATATAATGTGATCATTTGAAACCCTTGAAATATTGTCATTTTTCAAAAGGAAAAGCTACTATATTTTGCAAATACAAGACGTTTTTAACTCTCCAAAGACAAAAATTTATATTTTATTAGGATTTTCCCTTCCACAGTAAATATTTTATAAAGCCATTCTCTTACCAAAGAATTGATAAAAGATTTTAATTGATTTAAATAACAAAAACAATTAATATGCAAAATTTTCTCATATTTTAACTATTTTTAAGTATTAATTACATAAAATATCGAAATAAGTACTGTGTTAAGTATAAGTGGATAATTAATTAGAAATTATTTGTAAAAAGCAAAATAAATATAATATTGTATTGTTAATTAATTAATTAAAACACGTTCTCCATCCACTGTCCTTCATTTTTGTAAAATAATTTATGTATAAAAAGTTTTAGATAATTGTAGAGTATTAAAAAACGTACATATTTATAAACGAAAAAAAAATGTTAAGAAAATATTTTAAATATTAAAAAATAAACCATGTAGGTGCTACACTTTTTAAGA